TCCGAGTCTTTACTGTCCCGTTTAGTCGGACAGCGCACAATCGACTATCTACAGGGATGCTGTCTAGAAGAGATAGTTCTGCTCTACGACTCAATGATATACCTACACCAGCGAGACCCCGGGAAGCAGCATCAGGGCTACCGGATACACGAAGAGTAAATCGGGTTGCTTCTTTATTTTGATAAGGTGAAATCAGGTTAATGACTTTACTAGGATCCTGTATGCGCGTTTCCGAGACGCAGCACACATCGATTGAACGAGATTCTAAAGCCCTAGCTAATGATGCCTGTTGCCCTATTTGACACAATGTCCGCACACTAAATGCTACAACATGTAGTTTAGAACGGGGTTTAAGGAAACCAGGAACAATGTTTTGTGAACTCGCATAGTTTGTATTAGCGGTGCAGTGAGCTGAAGGAATGCGACTAGAGTTAGTCAAAGAGATAAGAGAGGTACTAGGGGGTGTAGGAAGGATTTGATTGTGACTAACTTAGTCTCTCGTGCTGTTATGGGTATAAGGGCGGTTGTCACTTCCCGGCTGCCCACCACGTGGAAGGTTGTTTCTTGAGGGACCTGAAAAACAAGGTAGATTATTGCTGGTCTTAACGACCTGAGAGCATTTCCACAGAGCACAAGGGACAACTGCTTGAGACCGGTCACGCACGGCATTTTTATGAAACGTTTTCTGAGTATTAGCTCTTCTCTTTTTAAAGCCATTACCGCCGGAGACGGAAATCCACGAGGTAGGGTGACGTGTGACATTGTTAGGGTCGATATTTTCGAACCCTTCCTTCCCTATCATAAGGCAGCATCGCTGCAGATAGTGTTTGTCCGAGGGAAACACCTTACTGCTGTCACACCTCTCTGCAGTCAGCAGTAGGACTTCGCCCTCAGACCTTGAGTAGCTGCTCTTTGTCTCATCGACCTGCCTGGCATGGTAGAACCTTCAGGAACATAAGTTCCAGCCAGTTGGGTCATCGTGATAGGCAAGCCCGACCACCACGTCATGGTAGCAGCTACGGTCGGGACTTTGGGGGTCGCCAGGTCAGATGTTTTTCCTAATGCCTAAAGTTAGTGTTCCCTAGAAATAGGCAGTTATCTGAGCATAGTTGCAGCAGGCGGTCACCATGATCAGTTATTTGAGCCGCGACACCAAAAGATCCACCCAGGTGTCTACTTTCTTGAGTATTTAAGTCACCAGCCACTACTATTATATCAGAACGCTTAACTTTTTGGAGATGGTCCGAAAGCTTTCTGTAAAACTCATCTATTACCAAATCCGATCTGCAGTCAGTAGAAGCGTAGGCAGAGACAAGGAAGAGGCAGCAGTGACTGTCCTTATGTTTCCAAGTCCTTACTCTGTTCCGTTTAGTCAGACAGCTCACATGCGTGTCTGCCGGGATCCATTTTAAGAGAGCTAATCCTGCTCTAGGACACCAGCGAGGCCACAGCAAGCAGCAGCAGGGTTGCAGAATTAAAATGATCCGAGTTATTTTTCCTTGTTATCGCCTTTTCAGCCAGTTGGTTTTCAAACAGATGGAGTCGACAACTCAAACCACAACCCTCGTGCTTTATCCGGGCTAGGGACCAGCATTAGCTCCAGTGGGACTCAAGTCGGAGTCACATTGTACGTGTACTATATATCGAGGAACTGAACATTGCCTGTGTGTAATCCGCTTGACGTTCTTAAGGTGAGGGTAACTTTAATACTTATCGGCTTGTCCTTACAACTAATCTTATGGTGGCAATGTCGTAAGTTATCTGTTTGGTTTACTTATTATTAGATCAACAGAACAATTTATTCGCGTTCAATTTACCATGCTTATAAAGAGCGTACTTCAGAAAACCAGACTGGTTTCGCACCTGGACTTGGATGTACAGACCACATATTCACACTTCAGCAGGTCTTAGAACACACACATTTCGACATCCACCAATAGTTGCATTCCTGGACCTCAAGGAGCCATTTGACTCTGCTGATCATGAGCTTCTGTGACAGCCTTTTACTGAGAGGAACACCAAAAACAATACATAAGTCTTGAAGAGGCTCTCCACTCAAATACTACTGGTCGAGTCAAAGCCTATGGCAATCTGTCATCGGAACTGATTACCTTGAGTATTATTCATCAGAGTTGTGAGCTCTCTCCGTTCCTGTTCAACGTTTCGTTGACGTGCCTGTAGAGATGACATTATCTTCAACTCACTTCAAGGGTGGATCTTCTTCCAGGATATTCACTTGTTGAATCAGAATATGCCGCCGACATAGTTCTGTTTGGTGAAGACTTCGCAAAAGTGTAGTCTTATGATCACCTTAAGCAATAATGCATGATCGTAGTACGATTCTCCCTGATGAAATGCAAAACGTTGCCTCAGTATTGGCTTGCATCGATGCTCGAACTAGTGATAGGGAGTGAAGTAGTTGAGTGTTGACTGCTTCACTTATCTGGGGAGTCTCATCAAGGCTGATGGCCTGGTATGAGATGAAATATCGGTACAGATACAGAAGGCTCGACTGGCTTTCCCCAACTTGCGTCATCTATGGTGTAGGCGAGATATCCATCTGCTAACCAAAGGACGAGTGCACTGCGCAGCAGTTCGCTCCGTCCTACTTTACGGCTGTGAAACATGGCCGGTAAGAGTTGAGGACATTTGTAGGTTATCAGTATTCGATTATGGATGTCTTCGAAGCATCTTCGGACAACTGAGTAAGCAATCCTGTTGTCAGGAAACGAGTACTAGAAAGTGATAGCAAATCAATAGATGAAGTGGTGACACTTCATCAGTTGAGGTGGTTGGGACATGTGTTACGAATGCCCAACCATCGAATGCCTAGTCAAGCTATGTTTCACGGTGTAGGAATTGCTATGAAGAAACCTAGGGATGGCTAAACCAGAACATTTGAGAATTTCATGAAGTCACTGACAAGTGGATTAAGTCATTTTGTTCAATGTAGACCAACTGGTTGGGGTCCGCGAGATGATGGTAACCGATGGTTAGAGACGTTAAACGACATGGCCCAAAATCGTTTGCAGTGGCGCAGGTGCATCCATTTTTCTCGTCCTCTCAAATGCTAATCTGAATCCTTCATGACCGCTATCGTACTTGATTCCTCTGGGGTATACATCTTGAATGATATATTCGACCATTGACTTTTTTTTGTAATGCTAATACTTTTACTACTATAGTATTTGAATTGGCAATTGCGTCTCTGCGCTAATATGGTACTGCAACTTGAACTGATGTACCTACCGACGAAGTTATACGTTGTAGCTGACTGACTGATATGTATAATGTAATGATCAAACTATTTGTAATTTTTAATATCAAAATAAACTTAAAAACGAGGGTTCATTTTAATTCAAACTACATACGGTACCAATACATCAATAAAATGATAAGCGAATTCGGAGTATTATTAAAAGAAACTAACATGAAACCTCTCTGAAGACTGAAAGGCTAAAACCTTGAACCCAAAGTGATTAAGCAACCTGAAACTTCTAAAATTGTTGGTTGTAAATACATAAGTCTTTTTAAATTATAGCATAATGGAATATTTAGTGGCTAACATCATTCTGCCAAGGATTTTAACGTACTCTAATCCTCCATATGAAATGAAAAGCAGAAGTTCACGCAGAAGGCCTAACAGCTTTCAGTTGCAATTATATGTTTCCTAGTTGGGCTATAAACGAAGACTTCAAAAGCAGGTCCTATAAATATTAAACGCTACGAATACTTGATCATCAATATACATTTCCGAAATCTGGTGATAAGAGTACGTTGACCCAAAAGAATGCTTACATCAGTTCTATCTTTCCAGTTCACATTTAAAACCACCCGATTCTTAAGTAGTGTTGGGTGCTATAATACATAAGAATATATGTATGTCAACCATTTGTTTGCATAATCATAGACCAGGTTTCCGTATCTGCGGTTCTACAAGTGACTTAATGCCCCCAAGCTGGTTAGCGTGAGCAAGTTGTATCCGTGCGTACTGACTAGTTAATTGATTGGAATGTCTACGGAACTACTGGCAAGTGAAACTTTTGAGTCTGCATAACAGATTACCTGACTACAAAGAATGGGCAGTCTAAATGTCCCCACCTTTAAACTAAAATCGGTTTGTTTTTTTATACTTTGTCTCTTTCGTTTTCTGATATACAAACTGCTCATCGAGAAATTCCCTTAACCAAAAAGGACAGAGATCAATCCTATCTGGTTGTACACAAGAAAAGTTTAATATCAGTGGAAGAAAATCAAGAAAAACAAGGTTGTTATTATTATCGTCGTTATAGTTTCTTATGTACATCCGTAACATAAGGCGGTGATGAAGAAAATAGCAACCAGGTAGTATTCACGAACGAAATCATCCTGTTGGTCCAAAAAAATTCATGCAACAATGTATACGTCTTCAGTTGTGATGAAAGTGTACTTCAGTTGTGTCGATTACACACAAATAGCATCAGTATGTACTAGTTTATCAATGTTACTTAACGATAATTATTAGACTGAATAGAAATGAGTGAATAATAAACTGTTGTTCAAACAGTCCTGATATGACTTTTTTAATTGATGAGAATACTTAGTTGAGCTTTTATTGGAAAGATAGGTAGAGATGTACATAAGAATACATTAGCTCAGGTTTGTCAAGTTATTTTTGGATATAAAGTTAAATTGAAAGTGACGTATTTTTACAGAATCTTTAGCAAGCCTTAGAGGTGTTGGAATATGTAATAAGACTAAAAACGTTGGAGATGGATAGATCTTGAAACACCGCAAATCGTCAAAGCGAACTAACTCAGCAGAATAAAAAAGTGTGCAAAGTAAGACATGAAGAATTAAACAGTGTTAACCAACTTTGCAAAAAGATCTGATACGATATTATGAACTCAACTGTTTCATATAAAATACAAAACAGATGTGATAGTGTAAATTAAAGATTGCATGAAAATAGTGATGTCTCAAGAAAATGATCACAGCCGAGATATTTAGGAATTTGATTTTTAAGAATTAAGGGCGGCCATAACCGCCCACAGCATTTCACAAGAACCTTCTTTATTGGCCTCTGAAAAGAAGTCTAGTTGCAGTGCATCATCAACTCGCTTTCTGGCAAGATCATAAACATTGTCTGGGAGATGCTGCAAAGCACTTTCTAGAACATCGGAATAATGAGACAAAAGCACAAGAGAGAGTAGTCGCCTATCAATTTTCTGAACATCTATGCTCCATTTATTAAGGACGACATCCTGAATACGACTAATTACACGTTGTTTACTCCCAAGGTCTATCAAAGGGTGCGTCATCATATCAAAAAGAATAAAATTTTGTTTTTCTGTAGTGCATATGCGTTTTTCCACGAGATTTTTTGCTATCCTTTCCCTAACATTGCGGAGCTGTAGCGGTAATTTAAACGGATTCCACGTTTCGCCTGAAAAAATAATGAATTCACACAAATAAACTAACCACTGAGGTATTCAATCCATGTCTTGGTGTTTTCAGGCTTGTTCTCTTTAATGTGTTTGAGAGCTTCATCTAGTAATGCATCGCCAGTCGGTACGCTTTTCTTGACGACGATGCATCTAGATGACAGGCTTCTACGACGCATCCCACTTGGCTCAAGTCCAATACGATTTCTAAGACCAAGTTCAACAAGTATGCATCCCCGGAGTCCACAACATACACTATCATTCCAAAATGATAAGTACCCCTATGATACTTAATAAATAAACTATAATAGACCAACCTCTCGATCTTTCAGCCCCAACAACAATATTTCTTCCATAAGTGTTAATCTTACTTCTTTGGATTCAGTATCAGATTCCTGTTCATTATCAACATTATCAGTAGTCCCTGGTAGGCTACTGGTTTCCTTCACAACATTACGTCGATAGATGACCGCTCCTTCAGTTTCGGTCATTTGCTTGAATATGGTTATTTAGGCAACGACAGTGATAAGTATTACTTGTTCTGTATTTGGCTATGATATTTAAAAAGAAAAATTGCCTGTTAAGGTTCTATTTCGGTTATTGATCAATATTGTGATCACACTGTCGGACCGCTACCTTCAGGACAGAATCTAAGCTTGCGTACTAAAACGATTGGCCAGAGCTAGTAAAGAAAGTCAAATGAACTTACACAGTCCTCCTAAGTGAAACAAATAGAGCGTTGGGCTTCATACGACTGGAAGTTTTGATAATGCGCGCCACATCCGCATCCAATATCCAATATCTTTTTGACGAGCTAGTATAAACCAGTAGCTTTCCTTCCGCTCGATTCTCGTTCTTTCGGTACGCTTCCAGACTGTTGGTTATGTACAGTTAATAGGGGTCCAGCTACTTGGTTATACAAATTCTAGTCACCTGTCAGTTGTTCGCGAAGTGGTATGTCCCGTAATTTGAATGAGTATGTTTCTTTCAGGGATTTCTGAATATCAACAACTATCACGTTACCAGACCGTAGACCAGTTAGTCGCAACGTGAAGAATAATAAGGAGAAGAGTCTAATGCTAATAATAAGAATATTTCAGAACTAAGTAAATAAATGTATAAGTTAATTAATTGGCAGGGAAGATTGTGCGAGAGGATCAAAGTGTGAGCAAGGGAGAGGAAACAGAAATAATAAGCCAGATAGATCAAGCTAGAGATCTGAGGAGACGTCAGTAATAACAACTAGCAAGTCTAAAGGCATGCACAGCTGGTCCATGAGGGAGATGATAGTCTGTATGTGAGTATGTGTTTATCAATTTTCTTCTTAAAGCTGTCCAGTGAAACGGCTGTGGTCACCTCGGCAGTGAAAGCATTCCGATTCGCAACGACTCTTAGCGGGAAAAATTGTGCTTGAACCTGAGTATTCGCTCTTTGACGCGTGATTTATCGAGCATTACCTTGATTGGCGTGGTAGTGATGCCTCAGTAAGATGCTCATGTGTGGATGATTTGGCATGCTCAATATACTGTACGCCATAATCATGTCTCCTCTGATTCTCCTATTACTCAGGGGGATAGATGCTAAAGAGGTACGAAATGCATTTGCTCAACCAGCTGCCGTAACTTTTAGCAATAGACCACCGACTCATTGAGTAATAAACTAAGGTGCATTGGAGTTGCATGTATCATTTCAGCATGCAAATAATTTTAACATTTGATTACTCATAAATGGTTCCTATCGTTTTGGACGGAATAGGAGAAGCTTCTGCTGGACATGGTTCTAAATCTAGTAGCAACGGGGTGACTGATGCTTCCAGGTAAGTATTTTAGGAAGTGACCAGTAGTGAAGTATCCTATTATTAGGATATTAGTGTAGAGCTTTGATCCCTCCAAAATGTAATCTCCGTAGTCAGGTTTAGTAGTAAGTTTTCTGTAGATGGAATCAACTAGACATTTTGCTATGTCTGGATTTTTATCGGAAAGCTACGTAAATTCTCCAAGGTCGATAAATCCTTTGATGTACACATAATGAGCTACCAAGCAAAATTGTAGGTAAAGGGATGCCACTGTAGAATCAATTTTGACGGTTTTGTTTTTGGAAAATTCCTCCATGTATGCATATTTGTGTTATGACTGACTTTTCTGTTTGATATTTTGGTACTTTATTTGATTCCATTTTGAGATTTTATCATTTGTATCTTGTTATTATTTCTTTATCTTGAGCTTATATCGAAGTTTTTATGTTTCCTTCTGAACTATACATATGTTGTTTAAATTTGATATTTAATATGGCTACAGCCATTTTTGGATTTGATACTCTAGCAGTAACGGACTGGAAGTACTTATTCTTCCAGCAGCGGAACCTATTGTGGTAACTGGAAACTCGAAGGTGTAATATTGTTTTGGTAATTGTTTGTATTTCCCATCTTGATTAATATAGAATCGTTCTCTCCCAGAATCATCGTTTTGGTCTTGGACTGGGCGGGACGCGTATGAATCTACACCTTGCGGGTTAAAAGCGAACTGCAAGAGTACTTATTAATTAACAGTTCAAAATAATATTTGGAAGATCCTTTGGATATCTTATCGTTTACTATTTCTTAACATTATTTGGAAGAGGATCTTTTGGATATTTTACTGTCAACTGGTCCTTAACGATATTTAGAGAAAAATACTTTGCATGTCTTATTGTCGACAATAATTGAAGACACGGAACCGGTGAAATTTAATATTTGGTCTTTGTTGTTTCTCTTCCCTTGAATTTCAATTGCTATACTCGCGCGAACTTTGAAGAATGTACCTTTTTTCACATGTTTTATCTTTTTCGTTTTCTGATCATTTTACTCTAGTTCAACGGGACATATAAACTCATCTCTTACGACCACTCCTCGGTTATTCTCATTTTAATAATTTTTGCTGTAGCTTGTGGCTTCATTATTCCAAACAGACATTGTGCTTATGGTAGCTAAACTCTGCTTACAAATAATTCCACAAACATGTCAAGTTTATCTAAAAAACACTTGATTTCACCTGTCGAATATAACACCTGTAAAAGATCCAAATCTGCTATTAAATTCGATAAAATATAACCTGAGAACAGTGTTCCATCCGTATCTTATTCTGATCTGCCCACTTGCTTAATAGAATCTCACCGTGAACTTGAAAACGACATCTCTTTATCTTGTATCCCGCTCGTTGATATAAATACAACTTACCACCTTCCGAGTGACTCGACACCATCCGTTACTTCTTGTGTTTCATCTGAAATAGATTCCTGTGAGGAATTGTAAGAAAGTGTGGCTGGTCTTAAACACTTGACGAGCCCGCAAGCGGATCAAGTTCATAGCAATACGAAAAATGTCCCTAGGCCTTTTTGCCATAGGAAATCCAGTACTGTTGATCTGGACTGTTCACTCTCTGATATGTTCATTACTCCGGATGACTTTACGCAGACTGATCAACCGCAAAACACTTGTAGCAAGTCTGTTCATTATCCTATTCACCTTAACAGCCGCGAACTGAACTGCAATAGATTCGCCACTATCAGTTCTAAGGACACCTTAAGTGCATTCGATATCAACCGAACCATTCAGGATTTGATACATTACAAATACCTGGTCAGTGTTCTAGAAAGTCCTGATCTCGAAATCATTAACAAAAACCGAAATGGTAATTGACCATATATCCTCTGAAGTGTTAAAAAGACTTCAGTGCATGCAGAATGCCATTGTTTATAACGTAACTGGCAGTGCTATCCTAAATTCTGTTAAAAACACTCTCCTAAAAGAGTGTCGATTGTTCCGCTGTTGGTGTGTAGCACGCAGGCTACGTAAAATTCGGACTAAATTTTCCTGTCCCATTCTTCTTCAGTTCAGTACTGTCACTTCATTAATAGTCAGTCACTAATTAGACACATCTCATTGTTTAAGAAGATTAGAATTATCCAGGATAGAAGTACGATACAACGCCGTATTACCAACGGCCGATTCGTGCACTAGTAACAGCTACAATCACGAATGTCACATTAACCCTACAATAACTACCTCCACACCTCCTAAAACGGAGAACAGATCCAAAGTGAATACTAGTCCAAAGACCTGTCCCCTGAATAAACGTGCTGCAACTTGTCCCGTCGTCAAAAGCCCATCTACATGTAAACCACAAGTCAATCACACTTCTGTAATACATAAACATTGTCCTAAAGTTAAAGGGACAGACCTAGTGGTTCGAAATTCTCAAATGAGAAGTGCTACTCGCCCTAACCGTCAGTCTTCAGTACTTAACATACCTGCCCCCTAACTCTCCTACTCGGGACGCTACTATACTTCTATAATTAAACCCTAGGACTCCTGGGAATACGGACACTCATACCATAAATACCTCCCTAAACTCTAACCGTAGGCGCCTCCCCGTTTCTAACCCAAAGTCTTTACCCCTGATTGCGTACAAAAAGACTAGGATGCCTAGAGTTGCTAAGATAACTCATAACAGTAGCCTGCTTGGGCATCCGCCTAATGTTCCTAGACACCACCCTAGCCGAAATACCTTTGACAGTTCTTAAGTCTCTACAAAACATGTACCTAACCCTTTTTTAACGCTCACCCCTCAACAGAGTTGTTTTACTACCTCCAGCTGTTGAGGGCGATATTTCCCCCTCCTACAGGTCCTGCTCTGCATTCTGTGATGTAATGGATGACAATCAGTCTTTGCCGCTGTCTACCCCTTCTAGCTGTAATACTTTTATGTCTGGTCCTTTTGAAAAACCACCTTTCACATTGTCCAAAGATTTGACTTACTCCACTATACCTAATCCAATGGACTTACGTAACAATCAACCCTTATGCACCCTAGCGACTTCCTCATCTGTTTTTTGGGGGTCATCAGTTAACTCTGACGAACAACGCTTATCATATCCTACCTCACATGTTTCTCTCACCATGCCTGTCTCTGAATACCTTTCTCCCTCTAACTATACCGCTCACAAATTAACTGACCATAACAATCAAGCCTATATTCCTACTTCCAGCCCTTTCCCAGAACACACAACATACAACCTTCCAGATGCCCATCGTGCATCCCTGAAAGATGAGTATTCATCCTATGTTACACTAATGCTAATTAATTCCCGATCTGTTATCAATAAGATTACCCACTTACGCTCTCTGGTAATTCTAAACAATCCTTCCATTGTCCTGATTACTGAAAGCTGGTTGTCCTCCTATGACCCTGACTCATACCTTCTAATAGACTCTTGTGAACTCTTTCGCGGTGACCGAGGATCTAAAAAGGGTGGTGGTCGCCTCATCTATGTATCTAGAGACAGCAAAGCAGAAATGTTTTATGATACTGTTCTTAATCAATTGCCTGATTCGATATGGCTGACTGTGCACGCCCATGAATGTAAAATACTGCTTGGATGCATATATCGAGCTCCAAACACTCATCGATCGGTTGACGTTGCTATTGGTGAGTCATTTGTCAGGGCTGCCTGTCTTAAATTCACCTGCAAAATTATTTGTGGTGACTTCAACCTTCCTGGAATCAACTGGCAAACGACAGAGGTTTTGGGACTTACACGCAGTAGCGAGAGCATTATTTTCTTCGATTTGCTTACGCACTTCATTCTGATATTTTTGTTTGCTTTCGGCTCTTCAGATTGATGAGACGACTAACCAGTAACACCGAGGTTGCTCTTATACGCTTGCTACTTCTGTGGTTCATGTTTCCAAAACTATGCTGAGGTCGCTATTCTGTCGAGACACCCGCAACATTCTTACTCAGGCGCTTACAGTAT